CCCTATCGTACGATCAATATTGTTGTTTTTTTTTTCGATTGAAAAGTGACCGGGTTCACGACACAAAAAATGACGGCGATTACGGACGCCAGTAGAGGCGGCCCGTTTGATTGATTATAACAGAAAGTTTCGATATTATTCACCCATTAGCAGCGCGGCGGAGCTAGCGCTGACGTTGAATTGATTTTCGATCAGCTTCGGCAGGAACGCGGCGAAACCGGCGATCAGCAATCCTTCACTGGCACCTGCCAGGTTCAACATGAAAAATCCCGGGTTGCCGAGCAGCTCGGTCAACGCGCGCGGCAGTTCGCGGATTTTCGAGAACGCCTCGATCGTCTCGCTCGAGGCCGATTGCTTCGGCTTCTCGTGCGCCTCCGACACCCTCTCCTTCGCCAATTCCTCCGATCCTACGGGACAAAGTGTTCTCCATTAGTTTCACGCGCGTTAACCCTTTGCGATCGGTGCCACCGCAGTGGCGACACTTAACAGTCGCTCAGAGGCTAATGCGATTAAGTTCAGAAGACAAACATTGAGAAAATTAATGTCTTTTAATACATTGATTTTTAAAATTTTTGGTTTATTAATTTAACCAGAAGAGTATATAAAGTCTTTTATCAAAAGATAGGCTCTGCAACAATAGAATATTACTTGTTACATTATAATTGACAAGAACCAGAATGTATTAAAAAATGGACTTTACCGCATTGATTTCTGAGCCATTCAAATAGCGGTATATTTTATTGGGTATTGTAAGTACTTATCATTGCCTGCAGTATATATATATTCAACAAAATACATTAACTTCAGAATATAATCTGTTTTTGTTTAATATCCATATATTTATTATAAATCACAATAGAAAAATGACTGTAAAAATGTATATTTGCTTCGACTAGTACTGCCACTAGAAAATGTGCCGATAGTAAAGTATTTTATATAGAGGTTGCGTGACCGTCATACTTAAAGATTAAGTTTTCTTATTTCGCAATTTGAATATCTTGGAAACAATAATTGCAGGAAAACAGATATTTTGAAATTTTCTTATGTAAACATTCGGCATTTTGCTAACCTTTTCTTATTTAAACATTCGGCATTTTGCTAACCTTTAATATAAATGATTTGATAATGAAAAGATTAATTAATATTGTATAAAGAATTATTCCGTGTAACGAAAAAGTAACAAAATAAGCTATAAAAAAAGTGAAAGCTTTAGGCAAATCGTTATTAAAAGGAAAATTCATAAAAATCGATAAGTTTTTGCTACGTTCACAGTGAATTGTCCCTTCAAATGGTAGGGAAAGGAAGATTGATATCTGGTGAAATGCTTAAAAGTACCAGGTAACGCTGCCGGGAACGCCAGGATCGGTATGGCGATTATGAAACTCAGCACCGCCGCCGCCAGAAACCCTATCCACCATGCTCCGACCCACACGTTGCTCTCCGGCGTCAAACTGATTCTGAAATTCAGGTTTTCAACGTGAAACCGTTTCGTTTTACCCTGTAAGTTGTTAACCTACTCGTTGAAAGAATTAAAATAAGCACTAATAAAATAACAAAATAATTTTAATAAATCATAACTAAACTTCCTTATCGAATTTTCAAGAAAACTTATATTTTTATTGTTTAAAAAAATGTTTAAAATACAATTAATCCATAAATAAACTAATAATCAATATCTCGAATAAACCATACTTCAACAGTAAGTAATCAAATACCTGTAAAAGGGAAATGAAGAATTAAAAATTTCCGTTCACACAACAGAATGATATTCCAAAAACAAGCTATACATTAAGTAATAAACTCGCTTATACTATATTAACCAAGTAAATTGAATGCGAATATCAAACATTCATAAGCAAAGAAAAATATTTTCCCGCTCGCCGTGAATTAAACATCATCCACATTCATTGAACTCAATCCAAAGTCTTCAAACCCAGAAAATCACCCAATAACCCAAACGCAACACGAACTGCAATCGCACATCAACAAAACCAACGCGCGCACACCAATATTTAAACATTCCGTTCGCAATCTCTTCAAACTTAATCCCGTCACTTCATCCTCAATACAAGCTTAACGAAAGCTCCCAACGATTTCCTTCCTTCGTTCATACTGCCAATTTAAACCCCTCCAATTCAAAAGAAACAAACCGCCCGCCCCTCCCCCTTCTAGCAGCGCGGTAAGAAGCGTTTTAATAAAAAGCAAAGTATTTTAAAAGCGGAGACCTGCATCATTAAACGATGCCGGTATCCCCGGTATAAACCCGATATTAAACGGAAGTTGGAAAACTGGGACGCGTAAATAGAAAGACGGCGAAGAATTTCATCCGAAAACAAAACGAAACGAAATAAAAAGGGGGACAAAAAGGGAAGAGAAAGAAGGAGGAGAAGAAGAAAAAGCAATTATCCGGTAACGGCGCGCGGCCGGTTCATCCCCGACGAGTAGGCCAGAGCAACGTTCCCCGTAGGAACTTCCGGCGCAACCGGGCCGACTACTTCCGGCCGCTTTTTTTTCCCCATAGCGCTCGCTCTGACGTTCCCCGAACGGCTTACGCAACTTTTCCGACTAATTTCCCGGAGCCGTGGAACGTTGCTACTGCAACGCGTGCTGCGGAACGATTCGCCGGAAAACTATTCTCCCAGGACGACTAAGTCGATAATTTACTCGTAGGAAACTCTGGCAATATCCGGTCGGTGTGTCGGCTACGGCGAAGATGTTTGCTACCTGCATTGCGAACTCGGACAACTGTACAACGCGTTGATGATTACGAGATCTGAAGTTTCCGGTGAAAGGGTTGATCGCGGGAAAATTGAAACTATCGGACGAGTTAAAATACATAACCCGATCCTAATTTCTTCTTTTTGCAATTATTAATCCTTAGTATTCGTATGTCACGCTGGAGATGACAATACAAATTTGTTATTTAAAAGATGATACAAATTAAATCTTATTATAGTAACAATAAATAAAATAAATATACAAATTTAAATTTTACTGCTGTAAATTATTTTAATTCATTTCTCTAGAAATAAATACAAGTTTACACCAAACAACATTCAAAATAAATCGAGTGCAAAGGGTTAACGCGTTGAATGGTCACCGGTGATCCCCAACCAAATGAAATTACAATAGTTCACTTAATTAGTAACGGTGATTATCTGAAAACATTTCTATATTATAAATATAGAATTCTATATTAGAAATATATTGTGAGTGGAAGAGTCCCCTTGCCACCCTGACTTCTCGGCACAAAGAATAACCGCCAACATTTCTCAGCCGGTTAATATTGTAGTGAATTAGAATAATAGTAAATTCTTTATGATTTTAATATAATTATAATTATATAATGAATTATAATTTAGTGAAATATAATAATAATAATAATAAATTGATTATAACTTTAATATAATCATAATTAAGAGGTGAATTATAATATAATGAAATATAATAATAATCAGTTCATTATAATTATACTTCACTATAATCTTCAAAGTTCGCAAACTTTATTGTTAGACCTCGTATTGCCTGGTCGGTATTAGCAGAGAGAATCATCACGTGGCAATCATCCGCGACCGAATTCTCCCGGGAGAACGAGGAAAGTGAGAAAAGTGGTTGGCTTTGAGGCTCGCGGCGCGAGAGTTGGCCGGTGCAGCATCTGCCCCAGCGAAACTTTTCATTTGCCTGGGAAATTAAACGCGCCACATATACGAGCCACTCAGACGCGAACCGGCGGAAGTAGCCGGGACGCGAGTGGTTCCGGGGAAATGTAATTGCGCCACCGGAGGACGATATTGGTCCTGGCCAAGCAGCTCGTCTTTCGCTATTTATGACAGCGAAGGGGGACAAAGCGAGGGAGAGGGGAGAGATACGAATTTCGTTATTTGCTTATTATACAATTGCATTGAACTTTTAGCAAGTTTCATGGTAATCGAACTGATAAAGTGTCCCTCGAACTTTGATCTGAGGTTACCGCTTTGGTGTGATTCTAATTGAGTTCCTGATCGAAGATCGTTTAATTTAGTTTTGCGTTCCTTAGTGGCAGAGTTTCCGGTCATTTTAGAAGGGTCATTTGTGATCCATGACGGGGGACATTTTTTCTTTCTCTTTTAACGTAATTTTATTTTTCATTTGCACTTTCATTTCCCTTTTTTCCGTTCTCAATGCAATTCTTTTTTATTTGTAGTTTCATTTTCATTTTAATTTTGTTTCTGAATATATTCTCATTTTCCTTTGTTTTATTTCCAACGAAATTTTATTTTTCATTTGTATTTTCATTTCTTTTTGTTCCGCTTTCAATATAATTCTATTTCTTAATGCATTCTCATTGTTCTTTGTTTTGCTTTCAACACAATTTTATTTTTATTTTCAATTTGGAATCATTCTGATAAATAAATACAATACGATATTTCGTAATAATTGTAATCCTTATTTCTATTTTCAATTTATGATCACTCCTAGAACACTGGACACACCAGTTTAGTGAAACATTTTTCGCAGGACAGACAAGATAAAGTTTATTTTACTTTGTATCCAGTAAGGTACCGTTCTCTTGTACTCTTTAGCGTCTTCATAATCTTCTTTCGAATTTAGCCTTCCGGCAAGTTATTTTAAAGAATATTTCATGCTCGATTGATTCGGCGAGTTGTGTAACGATATTTTATTGGTTGACGAAGTGAATATTTCAAGCTGAGACTTCATGGGACTAACCCTCTTTTCTGAACGTGAAATTTCTTCCAGACGGTGGGCGTAGCACATTTTTTTCGCGGAAAAACTACCAGCGGGTGATTGATTGCTGAGAAACGGCTGACTAACTGCAGAACCATCCTTTAGCCGACTTAACTGAACATATATTATACAGTACACACGGTAACCGTTTAGTTTCTTTCATTGTTCACTTTTTTCACTCATCCTTATCACATTTATTATATTACGTCATCCAGTAAATAATGCGGTTTTTATATCCCTTTTATTCTTAAAAATAAAGATAAACAAAACTTTTTTTAAAGCAATTATAATGTGTAGATAGACATTTTATACATAACGAAGGAGAATATATTTTGGATTAAAACCGGTTTTGTTTATCTCTTTTTTTTTAATAAAATAAATATAAAAAACCGTATTTACGGGATTACCTAATACTAGAGGTATTAATTATGCGACTCGATAATTTGTGTTGTATATGTTACCATTAAAGTATATAATTCAGTTATTTCATAAATTATCTGATTGAATCAGTTAAAGATTCAAATAAATACGATATTTCAACCTTTACCTAGTTATTCCATGAAATAACTAGTTGTTTTATAAATGAACTGATGATATATAGTTAAAGTCTTTAAATAATACATTTAATATTATGGCTAGATTAGTTGAGCTTTATATTATAGTTGAAATGTAATATTATAAAATATGTATATATTCAGAATATATTTTTAACTTTTTGAATTTCTGTATTATAATTTTTGTTGTGATAGAATACTTTAAGAACATCTGTAGCTTCTTAGAAAACTTTCACTTTCCAAACTAAAGTTTTCCAGTGCAATTAATATCTAATAAATCCCAGAATTAATCAAAAGATTAATTCCTGATAGAACATATCCTTTTAAAATCCTTTTGAAATGTTTCAAATGCCTTTGTGCAACTTTGATTCCTCATTTTTTAATTAATAGATATGAACTTCTAATGAACTTTCGCGAGAAAATATCACATTATTTTTAAATTAATAAATATATAATTTTTAATGAACTTCCACGAGGAAATGTCACATTGTTTTTGCACTAATAAATATACATTCTGAATGAGCTTCTAATTAACTCTTTATTTTATGATTTCTGCGTTTACTCCAAGGGTTAAAGATTGATAATAGATAAGTAATATTTCATTTATATGAGAAATAAATAAATAACATTTAGATTTGTCAAATTCGATTGAACATTTTGATCACTGGTCTGATTTCATATCATAGGAGAAGGGGTTAAGTAATTAAAGTTTACTTCAGTTTCGATCATGTCACAAGCGTAATTAATTTCATTCCCTTCGAAGCGTTTAAAGTGTTTTCGTTTCGCCCTTTGTTTGTTTAACACTAAACGTACCAAGACTGGTTTCAAAATTTGGTTCAAAATTTTGCATTTTCTTTCATCCATTTAATTTCATATTAGTTCTTACATTGTCCGATTAATCAGTTTTTCAATTTCTGTCTTTTTTCTGTTTCTCTTTTCACTAAGAAAAATTTATCGTTTAATTTGTTTACATTTATTTTATATCCAGTTATTTTATCAGTCGAGGCAGGAATAGGTGTATATAAAGTGCCAGTACCTTTACTGTTAAAACCAAATAAATATGCGGTTTCAATAGACTGCCAGGAGAAAATGACAGGAGATTTAAGTTCGTTGACTATTCGAATCTTTCGCTAGCGGGAAGCGGCTAAGCGTGAAATGTGAATGGCGGTCCTTCCGACTTTTAATTTCAGTCTTCTTCGAACCACTTCTTGTTCCGTCCTGCCTCTCGTTTTTATCTTTTGTCTTCCCTCGTGTAGGCTGTTACCATAATAATTCCGCAGCTTCTCGAACTTTGAATAAGAAGAGCGGGACCTGGGCGTGATTTATTAATCGTAAAAAAGGAGGAAACGCGAAAGAGCCATTATCGAGTTAAATTTAATAACGGCTCTAGGTTAGGTAAGGGTTAGGTTAAATTTAGTAATAGTTAAGCTTACAGTTTGTTGTTTTATACAATAAAGTAAATGTAATAACGACTCTGGATTATGTTAAACTTAGTAACTGTTAAGTTTATAGTTTGTTATTTTACATAATACAATTAATTTAATAACAACTTTCACGGTAAAAACTGTTTAAGACTTTTGCGACCAGCGTTACATATCTGTGACGCTCAACATTTCGTATCTTGCACAAAAAAAATTAAATTACTTTCAAGTGTGTTTTTCTATGAAATGGTAACTCAGTGTAGCATGTAGAAAGTTGACAAAGTTTATTTATTATTATTACTTTCCAATAGATGTAACGGAAATATCAGCTGTAATTTTGTAGAAAATAAACTCGTTGAATATTTTTCATGAATAAACAATAGCAGAAGTGAATTAGTATTTGGTAGGTTATAAAATTAAGAATGTAAAAACATTTCAAAATAATAATACAAAACATGTGGTATTTTCATATAAACGTTCTTTATAAGAAATAGCATAGTCCTTGTACTGATACGGTAATTCAGTGACATTTTTGAGAAATTTTTTGTTGCAACTGCAATTCTTCCAAATTGTTTATTTTCCGATCTCTACATTTTTTAAAACTTTTCTTTAAGCTTTTAAATTAGGCACTGGCTTTTTGTCGATACGTATTCATTTATCACTGTGTGAAACAGTACTCACTGAACTGCAGAATTTACACTTTTATAACGTGCACGAATGTACATGTCAGAAATAATTAAATATAAACTCTGACACACGTTTTGTAAATTTTTTTGTCGTCTGCGATACCAAATTACGTTCTCGAGTGCATGTGTCAGATACAGTTAAATGTAGCCTTCAACAAATGTTTAATATATTTTGTTCATTTTTATGCGTGTCAATGAACAATGTCCCGAAGTGCATGCGTCAAATGCAGTGTAAATGTAAATTTCATCTAATGTTCGACAATGTTTTTATCAGATTCAGATAGTTTGTATTATTTTATATACATTTATAAAATTCGTACACATAACATGTAATATTTACTAAAAGCTTCAAGTAAATAGTATTCGATATTTCTACATTTTTTTGGAAAATTATAGAAATATTCATAACAACAAAGTAATTGTTAAAATCATGAAATAAATACCTGCAGTACTGACTTAAGAATTTCCAGCAACAGATCTAGCATTTGTTTTTAGTTATGCTTAATACTTATACTAGTAAATCTTATACGAGCAAGCTCGTTTACTTCGATACTTGCTTTAAAAATACAGGATTTATGTCAAATTTCTGAAATACTAAGGTTTGAAAAAACGCAAACATTTCGGTTATTAGCATAAAAGTTAGAAAACAGAAACCGTGAATAAAAGAAGTCCAAAAGAAAACGGGATAAAAATTTTCAACCGAATTCGACAAATCTAAATGTTATTTGTTTATTTTTCATATAAATGAATTATTAGTTGTCTATTATCAATCTTTAGCCTTTAGAGTAAACGTAGACACAGAATAAATACCCAATTCATTTTATTTTCTACAAAATTATTAACGATAAAGCCGTTTTATCAAGCACAGTTGTGAGAATAAAGTTGTGACAAGGGGTTAAAATGGTATTTTCAGGCCTCAGTTTTAAAAAATCGATCCTTTCTCGTATTTATTATTAGATAAATAGTAATTTATTCGTGAGATATTATTAAGATGAGACCAAGCATTGTTAATATAAAAAAGCTGATATATTAAATAAAACAGTAGATTTCAAACATTATTTTTGTTCGTCATTCATTGAAATACTTTGTAGAAGTTACATTATTAATGGTAAAATAGTTTTATCAGGCGTAGTTCTGAAAAAATCATAGGACATGGGGTTAATTAGAAAAAAAAGAAAAGAAAACCGTATTGTACCGATTCAAATCCTCGATTAATTGAGTCTCTCTATCGGACTGGAGCGGAGGCGCGATGCGCGCAAATTAAACGACTGGAAAGGGAGAAACGAACATACAAATAGTCATTGTTGGCCGGTAGCATGACGAGGGATGCGGTGGGGTTCAGGGAATCGATACTCTTACCGTTTCGGAGATCCTGGGGGATGGAACAGATGCTCGAAAATACTTTACACAATCGACAGATCGATTTACCGTCGATGTTAACCATATATCTTGACGCTCTTGGAGAGAGAAAGAGAAAGAGAAAGAGAAAGAGGAAAAGAAACAAAAAGAAAAAGAAAAAGAAAGAGAAAACGAAAAACAAAAAGAAAAAGAAAAAGAAAAAGAAAAAGGAAAAGGAAAAGGAAAAGAAAAAGAAAAAGAAAAAGAGAAAGAGGGAAAGAGACAGAGAAAAATAAAGAAAAAGAGAGAAAATGGAAAGAGAAAAAAGAATAGAAAAAAATGAAAAGAGAAAGAAAAAGATAAAGAAACAAGGAGAAAATAAAAAGAGAGAAAGAGGGGGTGAGATGAAGAGAAAAGAAAGGACGAGAGAGTGAGAGATGGATAGTCGACAGTCGACTGACGATTAATTCGATTCTCACTCTCACGTGCATCGAGGCGGAGTGACTCAACGAAAGGGCTGTGGGGAGAGGTGAGGCGGCGCGCGGGGGCAGACGGGTAGACAAATGGAACTTGATTGTACTCTAAGTGTCGGGGGATGAAGTGACAGTTTTGAAGGGTAACATCGGCGTCATCGTCAAACATTGGTTCACCGCTTGACATTTTCCCCATGGGGTAGAACGCGTGTACGTCGCGACCACGGGGTTACATGCACTATTAATCGCGACCCATTATACGCTCTAATGGTCCTTCGGGATATTTTCAACGGAGCTCTTCTCTCTCTTTCTGTGAAGAGCTTGTTCTAAGAATTTGCAAAACAATCGGCTTGCTTGTTGAATTGCTGGAAACTTTCTCATAGGATCTTCGATGGATTTTGTTGTGGCAGGTTGAACGGTGCAAACATTTCGCAATTTTTTCAATAATCTTAACGTTTATCTATGAAAGATCTTGTTTGAAGATTTTGCAAAACAATTTGATCGCTTGTTGAACTGTTGTAAACTCTCTCGTACATCATTCGATGAACTTACAGAAACAAAAATAAATAACATTCAAATTTCTCGAATCCGCTTGGAAGTTTTCATCACGAGTCTGACTCAATATTATAAAACAAGGGGTTAACTATAATGATCTACCATTCGGAACATTTTCCGTCAGACTATCGGAAGTGCCTGAAAAGTTTAGCGACAGTTACGTGAGACACTCTGTATACAGTCCGTCAACGCCTCGGAATCTGTCTGCGTTCATTACACCGATTCCCTTGCGTAAAGAGTTCATAGTCGCCGAATGCCGATGGGGAATGACGCGTAATGGCCGCGCGCCATCGGAATTCGTCGCCTCTCGTTACCGCCGTTAAACGCATTTCCCGCTTTTTTCCGGACGTCGCGCATCGAAGGTAGGGGAACACCGCCCTCTACCGGAGGGGAAACGCTCGGCAAGGCGTCACGGCAACTTTATTAAATTCTCGCCAGGATTTATCGGCTGTTTGCACCGATCTGTCCGACAATACGCGTACACACGCGCGCAAACATCAGGGAACAGGTATGTACCCGCCGCCATCCACGCGGAAACGCTCGTGTTCAGACGGAATAACTGACATCCGACGGTATGCAAATACGTGCGTCACACCCCGCACTGAAGGTTACTTCGAAACACATCTGTGAATTTTCGGGGCGACCGGTTCGTGCGAATATAGACTTTGCGTCTTGCAAGGGAACCTTTTCGAAGCACACGCTGATTTTCATGAACTTTATGTGAGACGTTGTTCCCAAGAAACTTTGACACGTACTTTTTTTTATCAGCCAACATCCATTTTGAAGGGATGAAAACAGCTTTCAAAGTGAAGGGTTAAAAGTGTACTTTTTACTTAGAATTCTTTTTTTCCGTTTTTCTTTGTTTTCCTTTGAATTTTAAACCCTAAATAACTTGTATTTTATTATTGTAATATTATTTATCATCTTATTACAGTAACATACAAACGTAAAACTCATTTTCTCGAAAACGGAATACCATTTCTAAATATGTACTACAGCATGCACAGGGTTTCATTCGAAAGCAGGTTTTTATGTTTGACCCTCTCCTGTTAGTCATACGCAACAATAAGAATTGCTAATTCAAATGTTATGTTAGCAGCTATTTGCATTTAATTATGCCACTTATTTGCCGTACGTTCTTCGAATCGTTTATCTAAGGAAACAGTGAAAATGTAAATTCGCTCGGCTGGTCTGGATCTCTCGATAAACGCCTCGCGTATAACGGCCGGGTGAAATCGATTTAACGGCTGAGACGGCCTGTATAAAGTTTATCGGATTTTCATAATCTATTTTCACCGTTTCACGGCCTTGAAAGGACTCTTTACACCCAGGAAAAACACACAACGCCGCGGGAACGGAAGGGAAAAAGTTGTTGGACGTTGCAGCCGTGCTCGAGGTGCTTAATTAACGGCTTCTTGTCCGCGATACTTTAATGAGGAAACTGATTCCGATATTCTTCTTTTTCGTTTTGTCGCTTCCTTTTTACTTCTGAACGCTGAAACCGCTTCGATCAATGATCGATACACTTCGAGGCGGACACTTAACACAAACTACTAGACAGGTAAAAATGACCTATTCCCGATTTGGGCTTTTTTTTTTAAATGATGTAAGTCCATTTTTCATACACTGAGATATTTAACATTAAAAGTATCGCAACCGGTCAAATGACCGGTGCTTAAATTTGATTAGAAATTTTACACTTTTTTTGTCCATTTAATTTTATATCAGTTGTTGTGTTGTCCGATTAATTAGGTTTTTAATTTTTGTCATTCCCTTTGTTTCTGTTTTCACTAAGAAACATTTATCGTAATTATCATAATTTATATAGTTGACACTATTGCTACATAGAGATATTTGGATAAATAAAAACATGTATAATAAATTTGTTTTTTAGGTGCTACGAATGAGAATATTTAACATTAACCGGTAATTTCTAGACTGGTATGATTAACGGTTAAATTCAAATCCATACTTAAGGATTAAACTTTGAAAACAATAATACGGTGATTCGAGTTGCTTCTAGTGTTAATTAAAGCATTTAACAATGGCGAACTTGAAACGCATTGTTCTAATTACGGAGGAGATAGAAAATTGATCAAATATTCAAAAGTTCTAGAAAGTTCTATTCTTGAAACTAACAATTACGAGAACCAAAGGCAGTGGTTACGTAAAAGAGGATTGCAAACATTGAATCAACAGTAGACTTGTCCGGTTTTTTTAATTGTGTAAATATGTTTTTGGAAATTAATTTGGTATATAAACGGAAATTATAAGTAATTTAGTTTTATTAATCCTATTTTATCTTTAAAACGTTACATGTATAAATTGCTATATTATTATAAGCTATTTTTTATATAATTATGTTGTATTATATATTATACATAATATATGACATAGTTATATTTTTACTTTCTGAAGAAAATTAATGAACTTCCACCATTTTAATAATTTTTATACCTATTTCGAAAAAATAGGTTACTTTAAATACTATTACTATTCAAGTATTTGTATACAAAATTACTGTTTACCAGAAGAAAATTATGCCTAAAAGAAGTTAATTTTCCATAAACAATTCGCACGTAAGGGATCAATCATTGTTTTGCAAAATCCCATAGACAAAGTTTATGAAAACATGCTGTACATAGTGATAGAAAAAGAATGAAAAATATTAACGAAAACTCACTCTGACGGGTCCACAGTGAGGAAATCCGTGTACAGCTTCAACAATTCACCCCCGACTACGTAGCCCAGCGCAGGTCCAATTATGGCCATTGTGTAGAAAATTCCTAAACAAAGAAAATATTTTTTTCATTAATTTTGTGAAAATATTTCTTGATGCTCATTCTAGAATTCTCTATGAAACTTTCATTTGACATTCAATTTGCATTTTAAGAGTCATAAAAGATTCTCATTACGCATGATGATACTCGCAATACTATTTTTCTACTTATTCTTTAGTACTTCTCGAAAATTATACCGAGAAAATATTACTTCACCCTTTACGATTTAATTTTCTACTTAACATTCAATTGTAATTCTAATAATCGCATCTTTTACCATATTTTTCTGTAATTATTCGCAATATCGTAATCGTGTCATATATACTTACAATTTTAGTACTTCTCAAATATTCTCCAATAAATTAATAAAATAATGAATAATCGAGAGCACTTCGGATCGCGAAGAGGTTAATGTTCTTTAACATTTGATTTGAAATTTGTTTTAATCGGATACTTCAATTTATATAAAATTTCTATTTCGACTGTAATTTTACCCTTAAGTAGAAAATGATAAGAAGAAGTCTCTGATTTGAAATTGAAACTTAATTTATAATCCGTTTTAACTCATAACTTCAGGTTATATAATATTTTATTTCGACTGCAATATCAGTTTCAAATAAAAAATAATAAAAAGAAGTTACTTACTTGAAACTGAAAATAATTTGTAATCCGTTTTAATTCAAAACTTCAGTTTATATAATATTTTATTTCGACAGTAATTTCAACTTCAAATAAAAAATAATAAAAAGAAGTTTCCGGAGTAATTACTTAAAGGGAGCCATAATTCTTTGTTCCAGACGGAATTGCTCGTTATAATTTTCCCGGACTTTATCACGCGCGAAGAACAATCAGTCGTCAACCGGTTTCTTACCTAAGTACACAGAAGACATCTTTTTCGATACATTCTCGTCGAGGTACGTAACTCCGAGCGTGTAAAAAGGAGCGGAGCCCGCGCCGTGCAGAAGTTGGGCCACGAGAAAGATAGTTAAGTACAAACCGCTGTAAGGCTCCTGGTCCGTTTGACCCGCGGATCCGTTGCAGGACAGCTGAATACCGGAAATGCCCAAGCAAATTAAGAGTGATGGAATTCGAGAGAAGAATAGACCTTCCAAAAATACGCAAGGTATATTTTATTCGGTCATTCCATAAATAACGCGATTTTTTTTGCACTTTTTATATTTTTAAAGATTAAAATATTTATTATTATTAATATTATTATTTTATTTTCTTTGTTATTATTTTATCCTATTTATTATTATTATTATTACTTTAGCTTGTTCATTATTAGTTCTAACAATTAATTCATTATCCGTAGATAATAAAGGAGTATATACTTCAGATTAAAAACAGTTTTCTTGTGTTAATTTTCAAAAATAGACGACGTATTAAAAAATTGTATTATTTATGAGATGATTCAATATACTTGAATGATCGATTTTATTTAATTTTAATTCTAATCGAAAAGAGCTGTGCATAGTCCATTATAAATATATTTCGAGTATTCTCTTATCATGTAACATCATAAGACATGATATAAAATGGCATACTATTGCCGTGTAATTTTCTTCTGTTACTCGAGTCATCTAATTAAACGAACAAATTATTATCTTTTTTAGTGAAAATACATTGGTACTCAGATCGGTTGAATATAAACGTGAGCTTATTATATAATGCAATCTTTCTTTGACGTAGATGTAGCATTGAAGATTCATGTAACTAATTTTAGCTGGCTTGAACAGTTTATCTGTAGACTGTAGATGTTCGTGCTAATTTAGATTTATTCGGAATCTTTTTAAATAATCTCAATAAAATAGAAATGTGTATGCGTTCATAAATAGAAGCAGTTATATGACACAAAATGAAATCAGTAATCTTCTTTATCTTACTTTTAGATCATATTCTTAACATGTTATCATTACACTGCGAATCTTTATGAATTTACGGGAAATTTGAAAGTGCAAAATTACACAAAACGCAGAAAAATATAGAAATTACTCATAGTATGGTGCTTTTTACATTTGTTGGAAAGAACTATTTTCTATCGTACTTTTACTTTTCTGATTATATTTATAAAACGTTGAGTGTGCATGAAGATCTAAAGTCTAGTTATCATATTATTTTATGAAAATTCATAAACTGATGTACATCATGAATGCATAAGGTCTATAGATTGTAGACGAATGCAATTTTATTATATATTTTTACATAAAAGTAAATAATTACTTACAGCACGTGATGACGTGTTCGTCACCCTTTGACATATATTGTCCGACTGTTGGCCGCCTCTGTATGGCCCAGCGAGGTAATGAGGTGACGCGAATAGGAGGCTTCCTATACCTAAGACTAGAACCCCTATGCCTATATACCTGCACCAAAAATGTCACAATAAAAATAAGTGAAATAATAATAAAGAGTTATATAATTTCGTGTTCAATACTTTCACAATTTTAAGCATTTTTTGTTATCTTTCTGTAGCTCGCTATTGAGTTTCCATAGTTACAAGGTTATTTTTTATTCAAAGCGATTGTTTATTCATTTTCGTACTAGGCTTTCGTTCAGAAATTTTGAAAGAATAAATGATAAAATACATTACATCGAAATAAAAGGAAATTCTGAATTTTGTAACAAAAATTCAAATTTGCATAACTGAAATCAAAATGATTAGTATTCTTATTAGTAAAGGCGAGAACGGTACACGTATTATCTAACAAACGATATGTCAGAAAATCTGTTCACTCTATTACAGTGCAATAAAAATTCACTGTAATGCCATCATTTTATTATCGTAGTACAAAAGAAAGCATATATTCTACAAACATTTCTAAAGCTGTCTCAAGATTTCATACTATTTCAAGATTAATAAAGTATCATGTTTAATATAAAAATAAATCAAAAGTGTCCAGACAGAAGAATAACATGCCAATCGAAATGGACAGTGTCACTCGCCTGGATTAACATCTTAACTTTACTATGCCCATTATATATACAGAACTGGCGGATTGACAAAGAACGGTTCCGAACACCGTTAATTTATTTAAATGCAATATTATGATTTCTTTTTCTTAGATAACTGAGAAACTATTTTGTCACATAAAAGAAAGGTATATATTTGTTTCATGTTACAACGACATTTGTTGCGACAATTTCAGTGACCTACCATATAAAGTCAGTTAAATATTATTGTGAATATCATAAATTATGTGTGAGTTCTTACATTTATAGATACACGTATAAATTAATATTCACGATGTCAAATCCATTAACCCCTACCCTACAATACGGTGTCAGACTCGTGACCAAGGTTACAAATAGAATTTAGCAAATATGAATGTTACTGAGTTTGTTCAATTTCAAATTAAATATTAGGTTGGTCAAAAAAGTCTTGTCGTTTTATTTTTCAATACAGCGTTTATATAATAATGCACTAACATTGCAAATAGGCCAATTAATAGACAATAGAAATATAATTTCTATTATTAATAATAGTTAATGAATTATAGATTACAGTAAAATAATTTCTAAAAAAATAGAAAGTTTTCGAATAGAATACACAATGTGTAAGTCCATAAAGTTCAATTTAAAATGATGAAGTTTTTAATTACTATGCTTTAGAGTAAAGTGAGTAAATAATGGACATAGAATGCATGTGGAATTTCTCTTTTTTCTAATGAATTATAAATAATAAAACAGTTCTGTCGAGTGCAATTGTAAAAGAGATAGTGCAAGGGATTATTAACTACTAGTTAATTGCTATTTCTAACTAATTACTAAACTAGTTTCAGTGTTAATCTACAGGAATAGTTTGAAGTGAAGCGTTTACCTTGGTTTCGATGCTTTTGAACGTCCACCCAGGTAGCTCACTGGAACAAGGAGAAGAAAGCTGGCTATGTCGTATCCGCCAGCTATTAGCCCGGTTTGCGACGATCTCAAGCCGAACCTCCTCTCGATCGTTGTGATCACAACATTTACGAAACCGTTCACCACCATGCCTGCAAAAACGAGTTGTAAATTTAAATAGTTTATTGTTTTACCGCAATGTGTATTAATATTTACTGTTTTCCATTATTAACACTATTTTTACCAAAAGGTGTCGAAAGATATCTTTCAAAATTTTAGCTTAAAGTTATTTTCGAAATTTAATTTTTCCTCAATTGGCTTTCTGACTTTTCCTGGAATGATTATAAAATTAAGTTAGTGGTGTATGTATTTCTTGGGTTATATTGAGTTATTTTCATAATTGTTTATTAGTTTCTTAGATTAGTTTCAGTATAGAGAAGGAATGAAATTCCTATTTCTATGCAGAAGTATAAATTAAAAATAACTATTTAAACGAGCTTATTGGATTTTTAAATATATAATATAAAACAGAAGAGAAATCGAAAGACCAAAAAGAAAAACTAATTAGCAGTTGATTGACACGAAGTAATTGAATCTCAATTTAAACAATGTTATGTAAGATCATATGGAACATTATTTCGTTGTTCCTGAAAATTTATGTACTATCATATATAACCGCATTAAATGCATTGAATTAATATCTCTATCAAATGTTTAACAAATCTTCGTCTTATTTTTAATAAAAAGAATTCCTCTGAAACAGAACAATATAAATTTCTATTTTATTTATAATTTTGTTCCTAAAAATAGTTTCAAAATAACTAAATTTTCATAAATATTGAAAATGAGCTTCGATCCGATGAATTGTAAAAAATGGCAGCGATCAATCTATTAATGATCAATAATTTAATATACTCAATTATACATATATATATGTGTACATTCATTTGTTGACCAACGGCAATCGAATCTCGTTTTGACTATTCTATCGAAAATAGATGGACAACCGTCAAATATGGTACAGCTCCCATATCCTGTACAGCGGGTAACGATTGATTGACAGAAAGTCGATAATAGACGCCAGGACGAAGTTTGCGAACGGAAATCAAAGCGATATTGCAGCGATATAAAACAATCGTTTGAGTGTTCAATGTTTACTTGGTGCTTTAGATTGAGCAGCTCAGATGGCCTAGTTCCATAAATATTTCTCGGTGCTAGATCTATGAAGGAAAATCATTATTCATGTGGCATGCATAATCATTAGACTGCAGATTTTATGTCTGCGAGATATAACCAAGTAAATTTCGAACTAGAATGAAAAGAACACTTTAAACAGTTTTTAATTACATTTCTATTCCTTAAATTCTGAGTAACAAAAATCCGCATGTACGTTACGAATACAAGAATTTATTAATATATAATAATGATAATTATAATCTCTATCAACAAATTGATAAATTAAAATTTCTTATCTTTACTTTTCTCTTTTAATCTATTCATTCAACTGTCGATTACATTCATCAGAATCTTCAAGTAATTTTTTGTTTTCTCACTTATTTATCAATAATCTATTCTATTTAATTGTATAATAATATTTATATCAATTATATTGCATTTACAATCAAATTGGCATTTCCTAATTTTTCTATAGGCACTCTAAGAATGCAGCTGTTGAGATTTCAATTGATTTATGATTCTATTTGCGTATTACTAAATCAATTTCTTTAGTAATTTCGCAGAGAAGTATCTATTATATTTTCAATAATCCGGAAAGAAGAATTAATGGGTTAATTTGATCTATTCGGTAGTTCTAATGTTAATGTTGAAGGAGAAACCTTGAAAAAGAATAAAACCATTACATCAAACTTGTCTGTGACTTTTCTCATTCTTTCCCCAAACTTTCGTAGCAACCCACGCACCACAACATTTTTCGTATATTTCTATTTTCAAAGCACAAGCTATAAATATTCAGAAAATAATATGATCTAACACTAAAAATTTGTTTTTAATTTCATTTAAAGCTCGACGTTCTTACTTTCATTTCCTTGTTTCTGTTTCCACTAAGAAAAATTCATCGTCCAACTTGTATGTTTTTACATACTTTCTAACCAATTATTCGATTCGTTACTTTACCCGTTAAGCGCGGAATTCGTGTATAGTAAGTGCAGGCCAAATACATTCATAATATATTCTAACGAAAAGCTAAAGCAAAACGCCAAACAATTACATGTTCATCTGAAAAAATAAATAACTGATCGTTGAAAGAATTAGTATCATTATGATTTTAAGATGACGTGTATACTCGTCAAACTGTGTATGGTGTACAGAAAGTGTCAGTACGTTCAGTGTTAAACGATTCATCAGATTTTCACGCGAACGCAACGAATCGCACGGAAGAAAATTTAGAAATGGGCGCCCGGATACCCTGTTGCCAACATAAGGGTTAACAGCATCCATGCGGATTTTCCCATTGAAAAAAATCGCCCGGTTAACAGGTTAAAGTCTCTCTGTTTGTCGAGCGACGTAAGCCGATCTGCGAACCGAGAAAACATTCCCGTTCGCGATTGTTGAAAAGGCGAACTCTTCGCTCTTTTTTTTTGGACGCGGCGCGGCCCTTTGTGCGAATCGACGCCCTATTGACGGCTGTTTGTTGCATCGACAAACGAACGGACCGGCCTGCTGCGTTCGATTCAGAAGCGATTAGCGTGTATATTCGTGAGAAAGAAGTGTTTAATAGATTTACGTACGAGAGAACGATTTCTTGGAGGGTGAGAGCGGATCCGGTCGCGCGAGGGGGAGAACGTAATTCAATTAGTTTACCCTTCTGATTCATTTACGCGTGGCACGCGGATTTGCTTTGGCGAGCATAACCGCCGCGTTCTGACGAATCACAGATCACGGCGTTCGCTTTTGACATTTGCCGTTTGTAGGCGAACTCTTGCGTTTAATAAAATTCTCTGGTTTTCTGTTTCTAATTTTGGTTAATACTAGATTTATGAAACCGATGGATATTAAATGTAAATGTTTAGCTCAATTTTTATTGATGAAACTGTGCAAATAAATGTTCTCTATTTACAAATCTCTATGTCTTGAACTTTAAGTTCTAAGATTTGTATGAATGAACAATTATAATTGTGGGAATAATACAATAAAGTTTATAATAAACGTTTGTAATAATTAATTAATTAACGTCTGTTACTAATTAACATTCTCTGGCTTCCTATTTTTAGTTCTGGTTGGAATGTTTCTTTTATTAGATTTTACGAGAAAATATTGATATTCTGATTTTAAAGTTTGGTTTTTCGTTCACCGGTTTGTTTGCTATTGAATATCTTATTTTATAACAAGATAAATATAGAAGTGGCGTTTTTAAATATCTGGGATTGGAATAATATATGTGTTTCGACTTAAAGCGTTAGATTAAAATGTAGAAGATTTACGCTCGTGTCAGATAATTTATATTTAAAGTTCTCATTTAGTATTTCGATTAAATTTTTAAGTTTCATTCCATTAATTTCCTCAGTATTAACATCTAATAATATGAACGAGTGGTGATGATGTCATTTCGAGATTGACGGTGAATTTATTCCTTTAGATATTTTTGAAGTTTATAAAATTCGAGTTAATATTTCAAATTTTCATTTATTCTTAATGGTAGCCCGTTTGTTCTGTTTCGACACTACTAAAAGAAAGATATAAATATTTTATCCATTATTGATTGTTTCAGTTGATTATAATTACTTTGTATAAACAAATTCATATTTTATTGTGTAATACTATAGCCTCAATAAAACTCTTGTATCAGTCTAATGACATCTAAATGAAACTGTTTCAGTCAATTTCTTTGTGAACATTTTATTTCTTCTACAATATGTCTGGGTGAGTATTGTTTAATTAATTATACATTAAAAATTGTCATAAAATCAGGAATTTTTGCACGGATAAAAAAGTGAAAAGTATATAAAAAATAGACTTCTGCAAAAATCAGCTGTGTACCGTTCTTTCTTACTTTCAATTATCAACATCAGTTAAAGAAAAAACGAACTATGTTAGACTTAGGCAAGAATTTACTTTCCAACGAAATGCAATCCCTTAAAACAATTCAATATCCTTCCATGAGCTGCACTTTTTACGCAAAAATTATTAAAATCATACTATTGCATTAAAGAAAAAGTCAAACACTTTCAAGTACCCATCGAAACAATATTAACAACAAAAATATCAATGAAGCTGAAGTATCCAAAGTTGCATCCTCAATTACAAGCAAGAGACACTGTCACACAAATCCCACCCCCTTACACAAGTTCCAAGCGCAGACCACAAAAACTCCGTCACATTAATTCCAAACAACCCTAGAGATTCTCCGTGACTGTAATTTACCCCCAAAAAGTAACATCCAACAAAAAAATCATTAAAAAAGTCGACGTTGAACGGGTTCCGATTCGCGGATACGGTACATGGGACGGAGCAGCAATTAAGTGGATATTCACTTCATTTTTTTATGTAATGTATTGTATAGTAAATTAAATAATTGCTTTTTTCCTAAGATGCAGATGAACAATAAGAAATAGTACTTTTTCATCTAATAACGACAGTTGACAATTACTGTTCAGAGAATTGTAATACAAATACATTCGAATATATTCTATATTTTTCTATTTTATTAATTTTAAAACACAGCAACATGACAGGGTGAAAAATTATTTCTTTACCAAATGGCTCATGATTAGAATATGTTCATACTTGTAACCGAATCTATTTAATACAACCTATTTGTTACAATCTATGCGTTGTAACCTATGTGTTATCGCCTAATGTATGCATTCTACAATAATAGAGGAATTAGAAAAGTAATATAACAATACAGAAATGAAAGATAATTTTTCTGATAAATGATCTGTGTTTGCTCGTAATTAGGACATGTTCATATTTGCAACCGAATCTATTTGTTACAACTTAATGTATGTGTCAGACGGTAATAGAAGAGTTAGAAAACTAATATTACAGTACAAAAACGAAAAATGATTTTTCTGATAAATGACCAATGTTTGACGATTTCTGCACACTGAGGCCCCGTCACCCTCCCACGCTAGTTAACCGATATCCGTCGAGTTAGCAGTGCTCGCCAAGACAGCCGCTTAAGCCGGTCGCG